GAAGCCAAAGGTTAGTAATGTTCCAACGAATTTGGTTTTCGCGTGCGTAAATCTTATATGAGCTTTGTGTAACCAGCTGGGCCTGATTAAGACCCACGGATACCCTAAGCACTTATGGCAACCGGGCCGTGTACTATATTATTTAACATCTTGTCTCAACATCTCCGATTTATATTCCAAGCCCGGTTAGGTGTGTGATTAGTGGTTCTAGTCGTTCGGGTGGGAACATAGCCCACACCTTCAAAGTCGACTGAACGGCCTTGTGCTTTCATTTGTCCCAAAATCACTCTGATACTGTTTAAAATAACTCCCGGGACAAGGTAAATATTAGTTTCAAAATGACGCAAGTAAATTATCGATGAGACGCGAAAACCCTTTTCCACCCCGTCTCCTATTTAGCAGATTTACTACATGCCAAAATGAAATTGAAATACACAAATAGGTACTCCTAAAATATTGACAAATATCTATTGTTTTTTTTAATTTTCAGGGTCTCATCGTTATATTCGATTTAAATTAGACAATTTGGACTTCAGCTTGCAACTAGGAGACATGGATGACTTCAGAATACCACCTTTGTTCTTTAGTATCCTGGATGACTCCAATACTCCTATTAGTTGCTGGAATAATAGACAAGCAACATACAACGTCTTGAAAAAAGTTCGGAATGTTAATAGGAATTTACCTCAGAATATGAAAAATGAGACTGGTGATGGAGACGGTAAAACCATTCCTGGAGATTCTACCACGAAGTTGATTGGTGGAGAGTTTGTTACAGATGCCATTCCAGATAGTGATAAGTCGTCTGCTGATGGAACCGTTCACAGAAACTTGAATAAGGAAAGAATAATTTCCGGTACAATTCCCATTCCTATCAAGAGAACTGCTAACAGAGCCATTGATAAAGACGAACAAATTATCGCTGAGGGTCAAATTACATCAAATTTAAGTGCGACCAATTCACGAAGAACTGATGTCCAGAAACTGCAGAACGACCAAAGCAACAGAAGAAGTCTCACTTCTCGAAAGTTTGAATACAACTGCTATAGACGAAACTGTTGCTGTAGGTGTGAAGTCATCGGCTAATGGTTCATCTAAGCCTCAAGCAGATCTAACAGAAAAAATAATGTTACAAATTCTACAAATAGTTGTGGCAGACAGACATTTATACAAAACTTTGAAGAATACGCTACTCAGCGAGGAACAAGAAACTGATCTGACCAAACTTCAACAACAAAACGATCTTCTCTTCAGACGTAACGCCATTTTGATCCAGTCCACACGACAATACGGAAGAATTTTCAGACATCGTACTACATCCAGTTTTGATGTAAATGATGCTTTGAAAGAATCTAAAAAACTACATGATAAAACTGAGAACAGTTTGACAGAAGTGGATAGCCATGAAACAACTGAGACCAAGAAAGGGCCGACCTTTCTTAAAGTGAGTTTTTATTTCTAAAAGTAGTGCTAAATTGATATTTAATATATTGAAGTTTTGTTAATAGGATTATTTTTAAATAGACAGTCTTAACCTTGGCTGATTAGATATAGAAAATAGTAATAAAGTCTGCAGATAGCAGTTCACATTAATTTTGCCACTTTAATCGTGCATATCCCCCTTTATTTTTAATTTTTGTTTTTTTATCAATTTTAGAAATTATGGAATAGAATTATCCAGAAATCCAACAAAAAGAGGAGTCAAAGAGGTCAGTTTCCATTATTCATTATAAAATTTCGCGCAAAATAGATTTTAACCGGATTAAAGATGCATTTTGTAAGAGCTAAATCTGACTATTGTCGCGGTCTTTATAATCAACTCTCTAGACCATCTGATGGACGTGATATACATGGATTGGACCAGCTGCGGGATTTTTAAAAAAATAACAATAAAATGGATGATGGAGACTAAGCCTCGGTTGTCAGGTTCTGTTGCTATACGATAATAAGCAATCAACGCTACATCTTCAAACAGTTATAACTTCACTCAGAATAAAGTCATTTGTATTCATTTTTCAATATATTCATTTTTCAATATATTCATTTTTCATTTTCTATTTTTGAACTATTATAGCAAGAACAGCTGGCTCTTTATCTCAATCTTGTATAATGTATTTTTAAACCTGCTTTAGTTAGTTGACATTCAGGATGTTATTAAAGTTTTATAAAATATTTGTTTTACTAAATTTAAGATTTTCGGTTTATTTGTATCATTTGGGTTCTCTATTTTTAAATTTCAGATGAACAAGCAGTTAAAACTTCAAAGAAATCTTCCAAGCTGACGCGATTAATCGGTGTTTGTTAACCAAAGACACTAGAATACTAGTAAATAATTTTGAAAAATAATTTTATTAATCATCATACTGTTCATGTTATATGGTCACACTAATCTTAATGATTCTCTAAAGTAGTTTATTAATCTACCCAGTTACAAAATGCCACTGAAAGATTATTATCAATGGATGTTGGAAAATTTAAAGAATCCAATGCAGTGTTCATAATTTAAAGTTAGATTTCATCGATTTGAATACTTTCTGGACCAAAATGTGTTTGGGTTTGTTTTATATTAAAAGTACTTTTGATTGTATATATTCTTGAACTCTGTATTATTTAACTTTTATTCTAACCATGGAACATCATCTGCGGAAGGGGGTTGGATGGCTGAATGGTTAGCACGTGCGCGCTGTATCATAAACTCAACTAGCGTGGTTTCGATTCCCCGGTTGTACGTGACAAGGAGTGGGGTCGCCTGTCCCCGAAATGACTTAGCACCTATGATAAGCACGTGAATTGCGCCCCTTTCTGAACATCTTACACCCACTTCAAAATCAGCTCAAAAATATAATACAAGTTAATTTCGATAATCTTGTAACTAAACAATTATGGTTCTATGTGAAAATTACAATTACACCTTCCTTGCTTTCACTGGTGCAAATTGGTCATTGATGTGGCCATATCAGTTTCTTCCGTTTGTGCCTTGACTGGTGGTTGGTACAGAAACGTCCCTTAAAGTGGCGCACCGTTCGCGTGTCCTACCATAGAAACGCCTGTGTCGAACACTGACAAAGAAATGAAATGAAATGGGGTTTAACGTCCTACTGTTCTGCTCCTAAACTGGGCTAATGAAGACGGGCATACGCCATACAGTGTGCTATGAGGGAAATTTTGCCCGGGCAGCGGCACTACGGCCTACTCTTATATCGAATTCCAACTGCCAAGGGATCTTTTACGTGCACGCCAATGTGTACACGGGACCTCGGTTTTTCGTCCCACCCGAACGACTAGACAGCTGTCCTTGTCAGGCCCTCCTCCTGCATCACTGACAAGGGGAAACCACGCTGGAAAATCGGGATGAACTTTCTCGGCCAATGCAGGGATCGAACACCCGACCTCCAGGCTAGCGAGCCAGCGTCTTACCCACTTAGCCACGTGATCCCCCGAACACTGACAGCAAAAGAGCCACTGGATTGATAGCAATGCAAAACATAAGCATGTAACAATTGGGTAAAATACACCCCGTTAAGCCCAGTCGTAAACGTTATATTTCTTATTTCAAACAGCCACTGCATACCAAACAATGCTACCATCCTCTACACTAAGACAAACTGGAAAATAAATTCAGGCAATAATACAAATAGCACTAAATCGTTATTATTGATAATATTCGTGTTGTGTATGTATACCGGTGTGTATGGGGTTTTTGTTTTTTCATTTTCTGTGCCTCCTCCCCTTTATATGGCTCCTGGTGAAGCGACACTATGGTAAATCAGCAGCACTAGAATCCCCCCCCCCCCTCATCCCAATCTTATTTAGTTTATAACAGGGCTCTCTATATGTTATTCTGAAAAAGCTGTGTTGAGACAGTTGGATTCCATTAAAGAGAAGTTTTTAGATGAGACATTAGCAAGCAACACAGCGAGTGTGTTCATTTTATGGAGAGATTTTACTGCCAAAATTAAATACATGTATTTTCTAATGATTAAAAGTACAAAAAGAGAGAGAGAGAGAGAGAGAGAAATGGGGTTTAACGTCAACTCCACACAAACTAGGTCATTTCGGGACTAACACATGGTTCAATTTTATTTCAATCATTCGCTTGCGCGTAGGGGTCTTTAGCAGTGGGAGGAAACCGGAGGACCCGGAGAAAACCTACGAGGTTGGACGGGCGACCCTACTCCTTGTCACGTACAACCGGGGAATCGAAACCCCGCCAGTTGACTCAATGACAGACCGTATGATACAGCGCGCGCGTGCTAACCATTCGGCCATCCAACCCCCTGTACAAAAAAAAAAAAAAAAAAAAATCCTAACAGAGATGAAGAGGGACTAAACGTTCTCCTTTTCTACACCGACAGGACTGATGAAGCCGGGCATACTCCATACTGTGTGTTGTGATGTAAATTTTACCCGGACAGCGGCGCTACGGCCTACTCTTATTTCGAATTACAACTGTCAAGGGATCTATTACGTTCATGTCAATGTGTACACGGGACCTCGGTTTTTCGTCCCATCCGAATGACTAGACAACACCGGGATCGAACCCAGTAGCCTAGGTCAGAGAGAGCCACCGCAGCTCTCAATCCTAACTGACTGGTTGGAATTTACAGCGAAGTGCGCAAAGTATGTTCTATATATGAATGAGGGACGGTTCGAAAACTTTTCTACAAAATACCAGTAGGGCATTCATTATTATTAATATTAACAATTATCCTTTCTCTTTAGTATAATTGTTTCTCGGTCCTAACAATCCTGCTTTTTACATCGTGCTGTTCATATCATATTGTCACACTAATCTTAATTATTCTCTAAAATGCAGAACTGATTATTAACTCCGTTATTATGGACCACTTAAGTATGACAAATCTCAACTCCAATGACTAAATAGAGTGATATTTGGGCAATTATATGAGAGCCTGAAAATAGGGGGGCAATTTTCGTATATACCGCGTGGTCTGTAACGGCGTGAATGAATTGTTAAGTTGTATATTTATCGTGGTTGATGTACCGGTGTAGTGGTCGCTGTTGTTTAGTTATATGTTAAATGTTTCTAGGCCAGCAATCCACAAATTCTATAACAGATCGGTACCAAATGTTAAGTCCACCAAACACGTGGTTATAGTTTGGCAGACGTCAAAATAAAGGCCTGACTGACTCTTTTATTCTCAGACGTATATATGACGCATCTAAAGTTTATAAGCTGCATCATATATAATAAAACTACGGATAATATGTGAGAACACAAAACCTATAGGTAATAAGTTTGTGGGTTTTTTCTACAAGTCCAAAGAATTGATTTTGAATTTTAACTTAATTCTTTTACCTGGAGACAATGGATAGACACACTGGAAATGGATACGTAGGTGTTATCAAGAGCCACGCTGTGATTTATTCGTGGATCTGTTATTTATTGCTCTGTTATGTCATCCCGTCCTTTTCTTGTTTCAATATCGACATAGAGCATCCCGTTATCTTTCAAGGACCACCTGGAAGTCTTTTTGGATATTCCGTAGGGATTGTACCAACTTCTGATTCCGCTTGGTAAGTACATCCGTATGTCACTTCAATTAACTTTTAGTTCTAGATTACTTTGATTATGTCATTTCTTAATGAGGTACAGATATTTCTAATGGGAAAAGACGATTCGTATAGATTTTTGATAATTACAGCCGGGTGCCTAACTGGATTTAGGTACCAGGTAATTAGTTTAAAGCCATTAGGTTGCATGTTAGACTTAATTCGACAACAATTTTACAAAGAAGTAGTGTGTCTAGATAGCAATAAACAATATCTTTTAATTGTTATCTTTTGGCTTTAAAGAATCACAGGAAATATACATTTTTGAAAGTCTGATGGAGAGGGGCTTGGGCATATAGCTGCATCATGCGGGGTTACTGCGGTGAAGTAAATCTTAGATCCAAAAAAACTATTGGAACTTTAAGGTTAAGAGACTATCTTTGAATAACCCACACAGAGAATTGGTAGCTTCAGGGTGTTTTTTTTACTTCCTTATATCTGAATTTATAGTTGTATACTCATCCCATATATATTTTATATTTAAAAAGACTGTATTTATACTCGTGTTCACAGTGAATTATAATATTTATATTAGTGTTCACAATGATTTATAATTAGTGTTCACAATGAATTATAATATATATAATAGTGTTCACAATGATTTATAACATTTATATTAGTGTTCACAATGATTTATAATTAGTGTTCACAATGAATTATAATATATATAATAGTGTTCAAAGTAAATCATAACATATACTAGTGTTCACAGTGAATTATAATATTTATGTCCAAAGTGAGTTATATCATTTATACTAAAATTCACAATGAATTATAGCATTTATATTTATACGGGCCTACTAGTGTTCAAAGTGATATTTTGGTATCGGACAGATCGATATCAAGTCTAAATATAGACCTGGCACGTGGATGACAGTAATATAAACAAAAACGGAAGTAAATGTCGCTGGTAGTTTTGATTAACACGTGTTCAGTGTTACATTTTACACTATCCCCTCCTCCCCATACTCTCCAGGCAGCGGGTTTCTGTTATTATTGTAAATAAGAGGCTATTCACTGGATAAACGACGTTCCAAGCCCATCGGGAGATCTCGGCAATCCCAGTTGCTCCATGTTAAGTTCACGTCTAAGATTCATGGATTCAAAAGGAACTTTTCTCTTGTTCCAAGAATTTATTAAAACATTGGTGTAAATTACCCGTTGTCGTACGTTAAATTATTTTTGCGACACAAAGCCTTGAATAATAACAGTCGTTTTCTCCTACCAAAATTCTCCCAAAATAATTTGTAAATCTAAAAATTGGTACAAGAAATGTCTCAAAGGGAGGCGGGCGATACCCCTTGGTCTTTCTATAAGCTCCACATTTTGTCAATTACCATGTGGTCTAATAAATGATACTCGTGTTCGTCTTTCCGGAATACTTCCTTTACCCCAGTTGCCTTCCGTACATAAATATTGATGCCATACTATCTTTCACAAACGCACTTGGTTATTTTGTCAAGAGTTGTAAAATTCATAAGTTCTGGCGCTTTTATGATGACGACGAGGAGGAGGGTGAAGAGGTAATTAAATATTTTTCCAACAGGAGAAGTCATTTCTTCATCAATTTCATTTTCTATGTTTTCTTTAACGCATAGGGGGGTTGGGTGGCTGAATGGTTAGCACGTGCGTGCTGTATCATAAAGTCTGTCATTGAGTCAACTGGCGTGGTTTCGAATCCCCGGTTGTACGTGACAAGGAGTAGGGTCGCCTGTCCAACCTCGTGGATTTTCTCCGGATCCTCCGGTTTCCTCCCACTGCTAAAGACCCCTACACGCAAGCGAATTATGGAAATAAAATTGAACCATATGTTAGTCCCGAAATGACCTAGTTTGTGTCGAGTGGACGTTAAACCCCATTTCTCTCTTTCTCTCTCCTTGTTAGCTCCACAGGCGTCACCTCTGGCAGACAACCACCGAGTCTCTCGTGTCATCACAACTCTTATAGTAATGTAGGTATGACGAAACGGACGTTTATGAGTTGCATTGACCTTTAGATATAAATTAAATAAACTTGAAAACTATTATTTGCGTCGGGCATTAATTTATTAGTATTATGAATCATTCTTTGAAAGTAAATGTACGACGTACGTTAAAGGGACATGTCTGCGTCTATTTTAGAGTCATTTCGATTTAATCCGATTAGTTCAAATCAGGAATCTCGCGTTATTCCCAAAGCAATGGTTGATAGCATTATCAGCTCTTTAACCATTGCTACATTTACTGTGATAAGGAGATGTTTCTGATTACTTATCTTTTCTGGTCCCTATGTCGACAAAAAAGTACGTAGGTTAAACAACCTTTTCTGGGAACTGGTCCTATGCACCCTGTGTATGTTCTTTCGCTTGTTACTGTCGCCTCAAGATACCCATTTAAATTAGAGATTTTGTTAACCATTTTGCTTTGACCAATGAAAACCATAGATAATTATTGCTATCAAATTTCACAAAGCGTAATGCCCCAATAATGCTGCTCGTCGCCATTGCGTCGAGAATGGTGTTACTTGTGACTAACTGTGGATGGCCCGAGAGGAATTTTATACCATGTCTTTGGATCATTGGAGACAAACATACAATTATGTCTACGATGATAAAAAGGTTTTCTTTTTCATACTCAATATTGCTGTACTTGTTTTTTTGGGTGTGTTCATTGTACTATTATTTATATAAACTGCACTTTATTTCCTTTTTAATAAGAGACAGATTTTGACCAACTTCCACTGGCATCAGGTTTCAACGCACATCAATTCCTGGAATTGAAACCAGAAGGGAAGAAAACAAGTTTTCTGCTCCGTACCTTTTAAGTTGTCAAAATAAATAAAATGGCGCTGACGTCTGATGCTGATTAGACACAGTGTCCATAGAAGACGATGTTTCTTAATCGTTTGATCTGAAGTGCTATCCCTCTAGGAAAATCAACAATTCAGACTGAAACAGAAAAATATATTTAAAGAGACAATAATACCTATTTAAAAGGATAAAATTGTTTTTATTTAAAGAGACAATGTTACCTATTTAAATAGAAAATAATTGTTAGTCCTATTTAAATATACAATTTTACCTATTTAAATATACATGTACAATGTTACCTGTTTAAAGTGACAATGTTACTTATTTAAAGAGACAAAGTTACCTATTTAAAGTGACAATGTTACCTATTTAAAGTGATAATGTTACCTATTTAAAGAGACAAATTTACCTATTTAAAGTGATAATGTTACCTTTTTAAAGTGACAATATTACTTATTTGAATAGACAAAATTACCTATTTAGATAGGAAAACTATACCGTTCTGTTTGATGTGATTTCACTGCACCATAAATTCGGATATGTTTTTAAAGTGACTATATTACTTATTTGAATAGACAAAATTACCTATTTAGATAGGAAAACTATACTGTTCTGTTTGATGTGATTTCACTGCACCATAACGTCGGATATGTTGAATGATTGAGGTATAGACGACGATCAACAATCGTGATATAAATGTTATACATTGTTATGATAGAAAAATGCAGTTTCAAGGAAAAATTCGTTTTAAAATTAAAAAATTTAGACTTAAATATTATAAAATTCGGCCCACCAACCCCTGTAAAAAAACATCTCGGATCTGCGCTTTGTACAGAATAAGCATATTATAGTATATAACAAAGTAGTAAAAGCTGAAGGTAATTTTAATATTTCATGAACACCTGGTAATACTCAGTAAGGTGACATAAGTAGCACCCCCCCCCCACCTTACCACTACACACGTGATCATAGAATACAATAATCGTATTTTAGTCTCAAAATGACCGAAATATTGGGTGTTGACGAGATGTTTCATTTCCAATCCATTCATCTTAGAAATCTTTGATACGTCACAGGATTGTACTTAAATTGAATACAATAGCACAATATATGACACACATCGACATTGTAAATTGCACACATCGACATCGTAATTTTTACAACATAAGTTTTACATCCATCTTGGCAAAATTTTATGAACAAGTGTTGAGGTGTAACGCGCTGGTTAATCACAATTGGGAGGGTAATTTAAATCGCCGGCCGGAGAAATCCCCTACCCACCACCGAACTATTAAACTGCACACACTAAATGTCGACACCGGACTGTGAAATAAAACTATGTCTTGCAATTTGAATATTTTAAATAAAAAGCATTATCTATTCTTTTACGCCATCCCCCATGGAGAGGTAGTTCGAGTTCGGATTTCAGAAGCTGGAGAACACGACTGAGTAAACAGTCAACAACATAGTCCCCAGCAGAGTTATGAGTCCCGATATTTACATATAAACGCATTAGAAATCCCAAAGGGAATTTAATCTGGTGTCTCAATTGACATTAGGGCCAAGAAATCTTAAAATAAACCATTTTCTTAATCGCAGACAAACACATTTTATCAGATTATAATCTTATCAGCAACCCTTGACGCGGATTCCATTACACATCGAAATATCAACAGTAATACGACTCGGGATTGATCGTGACGTGGCGTACGAGATGATATTATTTTTTAACCTGGGCTAGTTTATGTTTTTTTTCTGAAAAACGAATGTGCATGTTTTAAAAGAAGTTTGACGTGGGTGCCTATGATGATTCAGATACAGAAATACTCACAAGTGTTTGTTAACCATGTGAATTCTTCTATTGATAAATGGTATCAGGTGTTCTAGAAAAGGTAAGTATTTCCTGGCCCGTGTGCAACAGCCGTAACACTCTAGCTGAGTTCACACTAGGGGTTTAATCTGAATTGAATTCAGAATAAAGCCTTATTCCGGACTTTGGCGTCACACTCAATTCGATAAAAACCGAATTGAATCTGAATTAACGAATCCGTATATTTTTCCGAATTCAACTCGGAACAATTATTCCGAATCGGGTTATTCGTAGTCAAGATTTGAGTGTGACACGCTTGATTCAGATCAACAGTTTTACCGGAAACGATAACTTTGCCCGCATGAT